TACTACTATTACTGCTACTACTACACTACTACCACCACCACCACCACTACTACTACTACTACTACTATTACTACGACTACTACTACTATTACTACTACTACTACTACTACTACTGCGACTGCGACTGCGACTGCGATTGCTACTGCTACTATGTTTAATGCTACTACTCCTACTACTCCTACCACTACTACGACTGCCGCTACTACTGCTACTACTACTACTAGTACTACTACTACTACTACTACTGCTGCCACTGCTACTACTACTACTACTACTACTACTACTATTACTTTTTCTTCTTCTTCTTCTACTTCTACTTCTGCTTCTACTTTTACTATTACTACTACTACTACTGCTACTGCTACTGCTACTGCTAGTGCTACTGCTACTGCTACTACTACTACTACTACTAATACTACGACTACTACTACTACTACTACTACTACTACTACTGCTACTAGCAGTTCCCGGGCAAGCCGGCGGCGGAAGATTCTTATAAGAACAGATTGGCCGACAGGAGTGTCCCAGTTCTTTCCATCATGCGTGTCCCTGGAATCCCTCAGCCAAACGCATGCGCTCCGGACTTTTGACCAACACAGCGCCACCCGTGCAAGGCCTGTGCCCCCTGCGGGATCAGCAGCTCACAACAGCGTACTGGGTTGTGTCTATGCCAAAGCAAGATCAGCAGCCCACACCGGCGTGCTCAAGCAACTGGGCATCTGCAATCGAAAGTTAAGGGCAGCTGCTGCGGGCACGCGAAGTGGGTGGTGTTTTCAAAGTCAAGATCATGTCTTGTAAAGTTGTACTAGAAAGTCGCCAGTTCTCATTCCCAGATACTCCGAATACTCGGCGTACTGCAGTTGTACTACAAAGTCGCCAGTTCACAGCTGCCAGCTCCACAGATTGCTCCGCGTACTAAAGTTGTACTACAAAGTCGCCAGTTCTCAGCTTCCACCTCCACAGGTTGTTCCGCGTATTACAGTTGTACTACAAAGTCGCCAGTTCTCAGCTTCCAGCTCCCCAGATACTCCGCGTACTAAAGTTGTACTACTAAGTCGCCAGTTCTCAGCTTTCTCAGCTTCCAGCTGCACAGATTGCTCCGCGTACGAAAGTTGTACTACAAAGTCGCCAGTTCTCAGCTTCCAGCTCGCCAAATCCCTCCGCGTACTACAGTTGTACTACAAAGTCGCCAGTTCTCAGCCTCCACCTCGCCAGATTATTCCGCATACTAAAGTTGTACTACAAAGTCG